AGAACCATTTGAAGTATTTGTCTTCTCCAGTAAAGGCTGTAGTTGTTTGCTTAACAGACATGTAGCTCACAGCTCAGAAATTGTAGTTCTATAAAAGCTTTACCTTAATACAAGTGAGCAGTAGCACTCCTTAAGTTTCCTTTCCATTACCCTTTTCCTCTTAAATTAGATTTTTTTTTTTTTATGGGTGGAAAAGTATAGTGGCCTTCTTTCAGGCTGCTGGCAAACTGCTTGGAAAGAAGGGTGGTGTTATGTTACTTTATGGCTCACAGCATCACAGTAAAAATGTTTTACTGTAAACTAAAGGAAATATCATGACAGAATAGCAAATAACCTTTTAAATCCTCAGTATACCTTGATGCTTATAAAAACCTAATGCATACTCAGAACATTTACCTTGCAAACATAGATTGAATATCAAAGTTAACAACTGAAACATAACTGGGATGTTACTGATGCTGACAAAATAGTAAAACAAAGTATAGAGGGATGCAATTACTGCAGGTTATTAATAGAACTTTGTTGGATTAGAACCCAGATTAAAACATACGGCTGGAAAAACTGAGATAAAACATTTATACTTTACCTGCATACTGACTCCTGGACTCGACCCTTCAGCTCCTACTTTGTATTTGCGAGGCAGTGTCTCTACCTCTCTGATAGCCTCCATGCTCACATCCTTGGGTAGCACGGCGAACAGCGAAGTAACGTACATGATTATGGACTTCTTATCTGGTAACTGCACCGCCACATCTGAGGTGTAAAGGATAGCGAGTCGGAAGAAAGCACACAGATGGAGAAGCAGAGAGATCAAGATACGGTACGGGAGGCAGGAGGTAAGAAAGAGGGGATAAAAAGGGGAAAATTGCATGAAAGGAACCAAAGCATGAGTGGACAGGGACAGCAGGTAAAGGTAACAAGAGAAGATTAAATGAAAAGGAAGGTGAGAGTGAGATAAAAAGCAGGTTGAAACAAGTTAAACCACTTAAAAAAAGACTTTGATATGGGTCAGCTGGAAAACAGCTCAGGATATCTATACGAAAATGAGATGAGAGATGATCTGAGACAACTTCAATGAAATTAATCCACTGTTAATTCAGTAGCTGGCAAGACTTAAAAGTAGAATTTATTATAACAGACTATGCTCTTATAGGAAATACTTGAGATCAACAGCGCATGGAAGTCTTAACTCTACAGAGCTTGCAAAAGTATTCGTATTTTCCATGATAGATAAAAATATTTAACTGTGAAGTTTCAATTCTAAACTACTAAAGAAAACCACCCCACAGCATAATGCTGCCACCGTTGTGTTCCAGTGTGGCTGGTATGATTAGTTCAATATATACAAAGTTAAGTTTTTCAACATGTAGCTTTTTCCATCTAACTTTCAAGATACAATGTTGATCTTGTTTGTCATCATTGGTTTTCTTTTGCCTTTATTCCAACCGTGGAGGCCTTCATAAGATAACTTCAGATAAAAGAGATTAAGATTACCTACAGATTGACTCCCTTTATCAATCTGTTGACTTTGCAGTAATCTGCATGACCCATTTCTATAAATCCTTTTTGCTTTAATTGCACAAACACTACTACTACTCTACCTTAAGTTAAAATCCCAATAAAAGGCCTATTCTTTGGTTACCAGGCACCTGCAATGGGACACTATTTAGCTACTACTGTAGAAAATGTATAGAAAGCGTTACCTTCAGGGTCCAGGAGTCTCTCTATAGCTAGCTGGTTTTTGGCAAAGGTGAAAGCATGGTCGAGTCTCTCCACAGGGCTCATTTTGACCACCTGATCCCAGCTAAACGCACCTGGCCTTCAGAGATAGAGAGACGGAAATACAGTTAAAGAGGGAGAGAAAGCCATAAACACAGACTCTGAAAATGGGTTTAATCATAAATATTTCAACACTTTACAAACGGTATAAAAATAATGATTTTCTGGGCAGTGGTTGAATGTGAGGGGGCGAGGGTGTGGAATGCGTGTTCAGTGATCCAACTAAAGCCTAGGCCCAGTTCTAAACCAACACTGGAGGTTCTCACAGCTCACAGGCCAGAGCGTGTCACCATTACTAAGGACAAGGGATTACATAAAGGGGGAAAATACCCCCAACCCCCCCTTCTGTCTTTCACATGCAACAGCTAACACAGCGTAAGTAAACAGTGACACAGCAGAGCCTAAACAGAACAAGCCATGCAGTACACACACACACACACACACACACACACAAACCCACTACAGATGCTGACCTGTCACCCTACATCCCCTCAGCCTCTCAGTAAAAAAAAAAGGCTGCAAACCATCTGTTGAATTCATTTCTAATGTCGGTGCACATGACATCAATATCATGCTAATTCCAGGAGGGCTCACCTGAAATGGTGGAGGATTGCGTTCAGGGCCAGTCCGTCAGACCAGCTGGTGGTGAAATTCAGCACGTTGACTTCCGGGTACGAGCGTGTGCATTGCCGTACCCAACTCAGCAGGATCTTCTCGCTGTTAGTCTGCTGCAGGTTGGACATGATGTCCTTCATGATGTCTTTCACCTGCAAAAAGAAATAATGAACTTATGAATAATAACTCTATAGTGCTGGAAACAAGGTTCTCAGAATGGTTCCCTGGATTTTTGTCCGATACTGTTACAAACTGGTATTGTAGAGCCAGATGTGGCTAGCTTGATTCCACTCGTTTTAGCTCATTTCTCTCCACCATCTTCTTTGTGACAAATTTATTCGCAAAATTTAATTTCCTTGATCATATTTTCAAATTGGTTTAATATGATTACTTCACATTTTTTTGATATCTCCAGCAGCAAAATCATGATACAACAATAAGGCTGCTACCGCTGTGCGTCACCGTTGTGATTTTATTCACAGATTTATAAACTTTTCTCTTAATCATACTTTTTGTCTCCAATTATAACCGCCCCCCAATTTTGAGGTGCAAAACTACACATCTTTAAATAATTTAAACCTCAAACTATCTAAAGGTACAGTAATATTTTCATGTCCTACTGACCAAAACTGTAAAAATGTTTCGTCTCATTTAATTTCAGATACTAAAAAAATATATTTTAAGTATCTAAGTACTTGGTTGACACTTTTTAGTCTTTCCAAAGCGTCCGTCTTAAGTATTATAAACATAATTGAACAAGAATAAGATGCACAATAACAAACCTTCATTCAAATCAATTAGACAATAATAAAGCGATAGAAAACCGCATCAGACAGGAAGCAGCTGTTCTTATTTTCAGCAAATGAAACTGACAAAGCAGTGGATGATTAGCATGTTAACATGGATGAACGCATGTATGCGCTTTAATTTCAGAGTTTCCATCATCGTTTTCTCTGATCCCTCTGGAACATCAGAGGACAGTGAGTTATTTAAGCAAACACTAATGAGACTCTGTGTACATTTGCAGCCTTTGTGGAAAGTTCTCACCTGCCAGTGAAGAATAATGCTCCAGATGAGACCTAATGTCAGTTTGTGGTTTCCATCAACAATGTCGGTCCCTCCAATGTTTACCAGATCAACCTGTGAAAAGAAAGAAGATGCTAAACCTTTGTTAGACAGTGACACTAACATTAAATTATTTATAACTTAGCTTTTCGTGTTAGCATGTCAACTGCAGCTAGATAAATGAGTTTTCTCCAAAACATGAAGAGTGCACGGTCTGTCACAGCTCAGTACATCTAACTGCTGTGTTCTCATCTCAGGGATTATATTGGTTCAGTTATATTAAACCATCACAACTACCAAAGTGGGATGAAGCCAAGAGAATTAAGTTTATATGTAAATATGTCTGGGCTCCGAAACCATAGAGTGGAGCAGAACCCCAATTATTCACGGTTATTTCTATACAGGCAGAGCTCTCTTGACCCAAATGCTGACTTCATTAGAGTAAACTGGGAATTTTTTACCCACCTCCAAATGCAGCGCTGAACATATTCAGCTTTATTCACAATCTTAAACCAGAGATTTAACATAGTAACAAAAATCTACTTTATTTTAAGTACCTTTATTGACAAAGTTAGAGCATGCAGAGGGAATTATATTGCGCTAGTTTTTCTATATGATTTAAATCTATGTAGGGAGAGTGCCCAAGTAGACTACTCAACCCATATTTTGTACCATATACTCAATTAAAATTATTCAGCTTTAGCATAACATCAGACTACCGGTATAATAAAAGTTAAAGGGAAACTCACCCCAAAATTTCTTTTATTGCTAGTAAACAATACGTAAACGTCACGTATGTCTTACAATTCTATCTACATATCCCAGACATTATCTTTCGAGACGTGATCTTCCTAATATTTAACAAGCATACCACCACTGATATTGAAACAGTATTGGTGCTAGAAAGATTCTGTGACATCATCCAGAAAAGCTGATGCGAGCAGCTTTTACGGCAGTACGATATTAAAGTGCATCAGTATTGTACAAGCCTCGCAATCTCTGCCATCTATCGATTTTCATCTTACCAGACCCCACCTAGCCCTCATCTCCTGGTCCACTGAGCACCATCTATGCATGTTGCATTTTTCCAACATTACATGTGTCAGGATGTAAGGCTGTGGAGCAGGGCAAGTTATCAACTGTCACAAAAATATTACATCTTACATCTTCTTTGTTTTTTTAACCAAACAGCCTAGATGCCCTTAACCATTCAAGGCATGCATGTATCAGCTGATGCCAGTACAAGAAAAACTACTATAATTGGCCAGCTGATGTATCCGTCCATCTCTTGTACTTTCTGTCAAACAATTTTAACACCCCTTGGAAACTGCCCCACTGATAATGTCATTAAAAACAAACATCTCTTGAATATAACACACTGCCCCCTTAAATCTGTATCTATATAGGACTGGATGGATTTTTCTCAATTTTTAGTAAGAAAAACAGCTTTTTTTAAGGCATTTTGCACGTTTCACCAGGGTTGCCAGTAAAGGTCACTTTGGTTAATGGTTTAAACACTAATAATTAGTCACAGTTTTTTTTACAGTTGAAACCCAACAAGATTTCAAACCTTCAGACTAAAACACTTCCTATAAGATTGCCTTTTGATTTGAACCCTACCTTTTAAGAAAAATGCAGAGGACCAGATATGACAGGAATGAGAGACTTTTGAGAGAGGCTTGATGGGGTGTAAAAGGCTTAGGTCACAACTGGGGCTGCAATCTATTTTGCAAATCAATTAATCTATCGATTATTTCTTTGATTAATCGATTAATAATCAGACAGCAAAAGGTTTCCACTTGAGGAGTTCTGGATAGAGCATATTGCCAAATATAAATGTTTTATCTTAAATGCAAATTGTTTACTTTTTATTTTACAATTTTGATATAATTACTGCTCTAAGTGGGTCACTCTGTCAGCTAAAGGCATGTTTTATTCTCTACCCTCCATTTATTGATTAACCAATTACTAAATTAGTTGGCGATTATTTCAATAACCGATTAATGTTTCAGCCGTAGTCACAACCATGCAAATATATCCCCCACTAAAGAACTATGGTTCTCTGGGTTAATTAAATAACAGATTTAACACTTTTGAACTCTATGAATACAGTACATCACAGTTCCTCTTTCTTTTTCGGTTTCAATTTGCATCTTAAAACAAAAAAAATATCAAAGAAAGAAAAAAAAAAAGTAGCAAACTGTTGACAATTTTTCCATGTGGTTTCAGCAGCTGATGATAAACAGCACAAAAACATCTGTGAAAACTAACAGCTACTCACATTATTTTGATGCAGGACCTGCAGGACTTTGTTGACATTGTTGAGGGAGTGCACCCTGGTGGAACCTCGCTCTTTGGTCTGAGGAAGAGGAAATGTAGCTGAAATGAGCCAAAAGCTTGTTCACAGCTAATGAAGCAACAGGAATCAAAGGAATACAGAGAACAAAGATGATGTGCCAACTTTTATTTTTGCACTTCATTCAGCTTTTCTCTGAAAGTGGAAAGTTCCCTTGATCCAACTTAATTAAACAGGAAGTGAAATGCTAGATGGAGGGAAAACTATGTCATCACTCAGCGCAGCAAGTTACACCTCGTATTCATCACACCCATTATCCTATCAGCATTGTCCACGAGCCAACTTATGGAAAAAATGGCTGCATGAGCTGCAGCCAACTGCAAATCCCTTTTAGAGACTTCACATTCCTCTGCCACTCATTAGCACCCAATTATAGCATTAGGATTCCAGTATCAGAGAGAGAGAGTAGATATTGATGCTCCATCATATATGGCAAAGAGACAGCTGGCACAAAGCATGACCACAGGTGCAAGAAACATGATACGGTGTTGAAGGATCAAAGATGGGTGGCAGGAAGGAGAAAGGGATGCAATAAAAGTACTCGGCCATATTTTTGATTTTTACAAGAAGGATGTTTTTTTTTTTTTTTTTAAGAATGCTCAAGAAAACATTTACCGGAATGTGTATTTTTGAATAACTATAGAATTATTGCCTTTTTTTTATTATTCTGATAAAGCATGAGGTGGATAAAATGCAGTCTAAATCAAAGATTTAACTAAACATATTGAGAAACAGAATTTCTCTCACCACCAAGTAGATCTCATTATTCCTACACACATGGTATCGTGTTTATAAGGCGTTTATCACTTTTAGGCTAAAATATTTTACTTGAAACATGGTGAACTATTATAAATAAATGTTACATATTGAAAACCATATTGCTAAGAATGTAGAATGTAATCTACACGAAATAAGCAAATAGAGTTAATATTATTACTGAAAAAATGCTTGCTTTACATTAATGTATTTTCTGAAAAACATCTTGTTTGACATTAGCCATATTCTCCATGTTGCTGCAGAAATATAATAATCAAACAATTAAAAATTAAACATTTATTCAAAAGGAAGAGGAAAAAAATCGGTTTTAACAGAGACAGATATGCCTAATGCTAAACCAGCTGCTTTCTTTAGTGAAAAACTTTGACTTTCTGTTGATGTTTCTGAGATTAAATAAATCCAAAAAACTGCTAATTGCAGCAGTGGATGATGGGAACTGTTTGACTGTAAAATAATAAATGCAGAAATGCAGATATAACGGAACAAACTTACCAGGACTGTTTCAGTGAGACCCTCCAACAGGTCCAGTAGCTTCTTTCCATCCCTCAGGTCAGAAAATAAATCTTTGATGGGGGTCTTCCCCGTCTGAGAAGATAAAAATTACCAGCAGATACATTAGGGGACAAATAGGAATAAAAAAAATAAAAAAAAATAAAAGCAAAATGCAGTAAATGAGACTGAAACTATAAAGATTAAATCATCTAAAGACATAAAATAACTACCAGCAGTAAATTAATTCTGGTTATACAGGTCTGCCAAGAGATGGAAATAAAATAGACCCCATTTCATAAGAGTAGAGTTGTGCTAATGTGGATTTTAACAATTACAGGGATGTATGATAAAACCCACAAACAATATATATAAAAGTAGGAGATCTGAGCCTTTTTATGACCATCTATTTGCACAATTTGGCAAAATGCCTAAACACTAAGAAAAAAAAAAATAATTGAAAGAGTTTGATTAAGTTAAACAACCTGGTCACTGTACCAGGTAAGGCAAAATGGTTCAGAGTTTTTAGTCAAATAAGAGCCTGACCCATTAGCATGGATTCATCCTAAGCATAGATATCTACAAGCTTAACAGCATATACTGTATATCAGTGTCTCCCAGCTTTTTTGAATTGTGTACCCCTTAGGCCATTTTTTCATTACCACGAGTACCCCCCTCAATCAAAAGTATTGATGATTGCCCAAACGTGAAAAGTGAAATAACCGGTTATAAAATAAAAACCTTTTACTTAATCTTTTCATTTGAGCAGGTAATTCTTAGGCATGTTATGCTTTCCATCTCAAATAGAAAAAAAAACATAAATATGTTGCCTGGAAGTTAGTAAGGAGTCGAAAAAATACTAATTAAAATCATATTTTAAACCTGTGTTGATAAAAGTGGAGGTCCACTGAGTAACTCCCTTATAATCACATTTAAACTTGATGAATTGGGAACAATATACAGAAAAAACCTTTAGTCAGACTGACTTAATAAGTTTTACTTTGAGCTCCAATAGCTCGATGTGAAGAACAAATGAACCCAGGATATTCTCTACATCCAGCCTGTTTCTCTGCTTGGTTTTGATGTGCATCAAAGCTGAAGGTAAACTCAAACATATAAGAAAAACCTACTTTTTGGCTGATAAATGCTTTTTAAATTTTTTAATTGGGTCTTCAAAAAGCAAAACAGATCCCAGCCCTATTTTATTTTACTACCTGAGAAATCTTACTATACGAGAAATATTTTCATGTACCACTTGCAATGCATTCGCAGTCCACTAGGGGTATGAGTACCCCCAGTTCGGAATCACTGCTGTACATTAAGAGGAAAACCGGTGGCAGGGTGGACAAATAAACTGATACATTCTAGATGAAAAAAATCATCTTTTTCCAACAAAACACCTATGAAAAAGTTATAAGTATTTTAGAATAAAGAAACATAGCAATTTTAGGGCTGAAATACTCTGAATTCAGTCATAGAACTGAAGCAAATAGAGTATCTCTATGTTTTGCAAGAACAGGTGCATCATTTTAATTCAAAAGCTTCCACAGAAATCTGTGCTGCATGCAGTGCTTTACATACCTTAGAGAACTGTGCATTCATCCATTTAGTGAATGTTTTCTTCTGGACAGCATCATGCTCATCTGTGGGCAGAGTCAGAGGGTTCGATCAGTCTTAGGAGATAAAAACTTTTTTTAACGTACATGTTTATTTCTGGAGCCAAATTCATTTCAGGTCAACCTCGCCCTCTTGTACTGGCACAGTGGTTAAGTGATAATTGTAGCTGGAGGCAATTATGGTCTGAAAGCCTCCAGATCGATGTGGCACTAACGTCACCAAATTACAGGAACAAAATGAAGGCAGAAAAAGAGCATTTTGACAATCTGCCTAAAATGTCAAAGCATGCTCAGCATCAGAAATAAGCCCAACACACCAAACCCACTTGCACACATGTGCATACATCCCCGTCCATTTATGATGCACCAGCAGAATTCAGCTGCACACATATTTTACATTCTCTTCCCACTTGACTCCCTCCTTCACTGCTCCTCCTTTATTCTGCAATAAGGCGTCATTGTGTTTCAGGCCCAGGGTCAGCTGCTTTGATGTGAACGGGTGGTGTAATAGATTACAGCAGCTTAGATGCTGAGAAATGTTTGGCTTTTAAACAAAATAATTGAGTTATTAAATAAAGAAACTAACCCAAAGCAGAACCCTGAGCCTCACAGTAGATAATGATTATTTGCCTTCTTAGTTCACCCAAAGGAACAAGTCCACCTTAAAACTCTCATACTTGTTTCCCTACAGTTGCTGAGGTCCAATTTGAATCACTGTAGTGAAGAACTGGATAGAGCATCTTAAAAAAAGAAAAAAAAAAAGAAACTAGGGGTGTCCTATGCAACTTTTTATTTTACGATACCGATATTACAGCTTTGAGTACTGACCAATAAACAGGTACAAATATCAGCAAGACTCAGATACAGATATAGAAGGACACAGAAAGACTAGCCTCGTGAGACCATCCTGATCTCACAAGCTTTCAAGGTTTCACTCGCAGATCAGTCTGGCTACTTTCCGTTAAAGAAAATTTGGAGCAGTTCCCCAAACGAACGTCATCAGCGTTGGCTTTGAGGCGGGTTGAGGTGTGACGCAACGAGAAGCGTGACAGTTCAGTCTAAAGAACATGGCGGCTTCAGCCAAAGAAA